TGGAAACGGGGGTGGGGAGGGGGTGCCTGCCTCTCCCGGCTGGGGAGCACCACCTTTTGTGGCCGGGAGGAAGCAAGAGGATCGGGCCGCTGTCTTTCCCCCCGAAATAAGCCCCGCGACCTTGAGCCGTCCTGGTAGGGAGGCACTCACCCGCCTCACCCTCCGATGGGGCATCCTTTCCTTGTGGCTCCTCAGGCGGGGCAACCAGAAGGGCACTGCAGATGCTGCCCCCCAGAAAGGCTCCCCCGAGCAGAGTTCCCCTCCCGGTACCTTTTATGGACGGGTGGCAATGCCCGTGCTGTGCCCTGCGTCCACCCTGGGGAGGCTGGCAGAGACGGCCCAGAGTTCAGTGGGGCTTGGGCATCCACCATGCCCGGGCCCCGGCAGAAGGGAGGCCAAATGGGGTGGCACCCGCACCCTCACGTATCCAGGCTACCCCCTTTTCCTTCCTTCAGGCCCAACAAGAAACAGGCGGTGCTGCATTACACGGCGGCCCGCCTGTTTGAAAAGGGCGTCCTGCTGGAGATCGAAGACCTCCCGTCAAACCAGTAAGTCCGGATCTCCCCCGTCTCTTCTGCTCACTCCTGCCGCCCCTCATCCCTCCCGGGGGAGCCAGGCAAAGGGCGACGACGGCAGAGCTCTCCCGTTTCCCACGGGACGTGAAACGTGGCCATGGTGCTGCGCACGGGCGCTGCGCACGGGCTCTGCCTGCCGTTTGGTCCCTGGAAGGCCTGGGAGGTTGGAGCACGGCTGACCACCAAGGCAGGCAATGCTGAGCAAAGATGACCCCCGGGGCCCTCTTGGGAGGGTCACTGGAGATCGCCTAGTCCACCCCCTTCCGTTCAGCACAGGAGCCTGCTAGGACTGTTTTCCACGTCCAAACCTGGACGCCCTTGGACTCTTTCCTTGGGGCGGCAGATGGGGACGGTCATCAGAGACAGGGCAGAAAGCGTGGGATCTAGGCTTGGTGTCCTAAGCATGAGGTCCAACCTTTATTTTTTTTCCATGCTGTGGAGAAGCAGAAAGTAAATCTCATTCTTGCAGGGTCCTTACCTCCAATTCCACTTTCTCAGTTTCATGGCTTTAATTCCTGCCCCCCACCCCCATTTCTTTCAGACTTAGAAATGTCATTTTTGAAATTATTCCTTCCCGGGAGGCTGGCAAGTTCCAAGTCAAGGCGAAGTTTATGGGGATCGATATGGAAAACTTCCAGCTTCATTACCAGGTAAGGAGACAGCTGATGGGGGTTCCCTCCATACAATTTGTTTATTTTTATTTAATTATTCACTGGCTTTCCAATGGTAGTAGACCCTGAGTGAGGTATACACCCATTACTGGGTTAGCAACGGTTCGTATACAGTCATTCTCCTGTAGCTTTTCAAAAAGAGAAGGGTGGGAGCCAACTAACTGCCAGAGAATGGTACTTCCGGAGATGGGGGCCACAGCCGAGGACACCCCCTAAGGGAAGGGGTCTGAGGAGAACCTCGTCTCCCTGATCTTACCAGATGGGCAGAAAGCCCTGGGCATAGGCGGTCCTGAAGGTACCCAGATGCAAAGCCGTGAAGGTTTTAGAGCTGACAGAAGTGCGTTGAATTTCACCCAGAGACAAGCCAGTAGGAAGGGCAGTTGGAGCAGTGGGGTTTTAGGGGTCAACCAACGATCTGCAGCCTTCTGGAGCAACTGAAGGGCTTTCGAGGGCAGCCCCCGTGGGGCGCATTGAGCCAGATAGCCCGGATGAGAGATTTAGAGCCAAGGCAGAAGATGGAGCTGTGCAAAGGCGCTTCTAGCCACAGAAGGGAAAATGGAATTTCTCTGGAACCGGAAGGCTCGGGACTAGAGCCGCTCCATCAGTGGGACTGAGCCTCAGCTAACTCCTCCCCGCCAGATCCCGATAGCCTCCAGGGATCAGGGCAGGTCCTACGTCTCCTGTGCAGCTGAGAAGCAGGCCTGAGTAACGGCAGCGCAGCGAGGATCGGTGACTCCATGCCAACAGAGCACGTCACCTGGCAGGTCCGCAGCAGTGTTACATGGGAGAGAAAGAGGAGGAAGGCTGCTGGGGCACGGCACCTTCCGCCCCAGCCCTTCCGGGTGGTCCAGAAAGGCATTGCGGGGGATCAGAGGATCAGGCAGAGCCGGGAGGGTGGCCCTTCCCTAAGAGGGATCAACTTGGACCGAGCCCAGCCCGAAAAGGGTTTGGCTCCTCTGTTTCCTCCAGCACCGCCTGCAGGTGCAGAATCCGTACGTGAGCATTTGCAGCCTAAAATTAGGTACAAGGCAGAGAAAGCTGAGATAGAGAAAAAGGTGGATGCCACGTGGTCAGAAACTGGAGGAAGTTTAGTTACCGCAATGTCTCACGACAAGACCCGGCCACCTTTTGTGGGAACTGAAGGCGCTCAGCAAGCTGGGATGTGTGAGAAGGGATTTGCTGGAAGGACCTGAGTCGCCTCCTGCGAGTGCCAGCGGAGGGAGGCGGGTGGGCAGCGGGCAAGGGGGCATGCTGTCGGGGGAGTCATCTCTCAGCCTCCTCCCTGGGGCAGGAATCCTCTGGGCGTGTCTCAGTGGGAGCGAAGGCTGACTTGCAGACGCCGAAGCCCTCTTGGGCTGTAGCTGCTTCTGCCATTTCGAGGCTTAACTGGTTTACTGAACTGACATGGTTAATTCTGGATTTGCACAATACACTGAACCATACACAATCCAAACAGGTCACACAACATGCTAAGTTACCAAACAACTAGCCAAGGTTAAAACCAACCAACCAACCAACCAAGCTTAGCACTGCTCAATCTTTCCCTGCTCTGGTCAGCCCAAGTTTAGGTAACCCCCCCACTTTCTGTTTGGAAATGTCGGTTGAAAGCTGGGAGGAAAACTCTGAACGTGGATGTGACCTTTCTCTCCCTTCAGGACCTCCTCCAACTCCAGTATGAAGGCGTTGCCATCATGAAAATGTTTGACAAAGCCAGAATCAACGTCAACCTTCTAATCTTCCTTCTGAACAAGAAGTTTTTCAAGAAGTAATGGGGGAGGGGGGTGCTTTGGGCCATGGCTGTGGAATATTGGGGGCCGTGTGGGAAAGATGCCAAAGAGATAGTGGGGCTTGCTTTACTGCAGATCTGCTTCAGAGAAACCCAGAACCACCCACTCGGGGGGACCCTGTGGGCATCTGGGCCGGACCCCTCGCTGGCAGATCTTTGCATGGCAGAACGCTTCCTTGTGCAATGAGCATTTCTTGCATGTAGAATGCTGGCACAGTATATCAAGGGTAGGCTAGTTTTCTAGGTGCAAAGCACTTCCTCTGCAATCCAGCCCACCCCTGCAACGGTCAGTTCAGCCTAGATGTCCGCTCTCCAGTTCCTAAAGCTCAGTGCCCAGGGAAGAGCTGCTAAATGTCCTGGGAAGCAAAACGCCCAGCTCTCTCAGTTGCTAGAGTTGGAGGAGGCAGACGGTGTCCACCCAGGCGAGCCTTCCTCCTGCTTTCATCCATCCTCTGGACCCCACAGCCTCGGTCGGTGGCCCTGGCGTTTTGGAGTGGCTGTTTGTTTTCCAAGAAATGGGGCAGCTGGCAGGAGTCCGGCTGGGGGTCTCATGCTGCTCGCGCTATAGAGAGGAGGGACGGAGGGAGGGTGTGTGCATGAGAGAAAGAGGCATTTTAAAACTTGTCACTCACAATCCTGAGAGTTTGCACAGAATCAACTTTCCTCAGAATGGAGAGTTTTACAAATTCAGATAGTTTGAAACAGAAGCTGCCAAGTTGTCCAAGGGCTCAATTATTTTTATACCAGCACTTGGGAGGCTGCTGAAAGCTGAGAATTTAGAATTCTTCCCTGATAATTTAAGTTTTCAATCAAAAGAATATGATAATTAAGTATCAAGTTTGCACAGAATGTTAACGTTCTCAGGCATTTTATTAAAATCTGCAATAAATTCCATTATTCAATTTTTTAATACCGTAAATGTTGTCTACTAGATAATTGCTATGGGTGTAACTGTGAAGGACTTCTGCTTTATGTTTTGTACACCAGGTTTTCAAATACTCAAAAATTATGTCATCGTCCACACAATTCACTATTAAAATGTAGAATTAGACCCTAATCACCGAAAACTGAAAAAGCCTAATTGAAGAAATCCTATCTAGCCATTGGATAAGGAGAATGTGTGGGGTTGGTTGGAGAAAGAGAGAAATGAACCTCAACCGTCTGAAAATGTGAAAAGATGCTCTGAACGCATCCAGCGAACATCCTGCCCCACATCCAAAATATATGTAGATATTCCTGTTACTGAGAGGCACTGGCTATTTTTAATACGGTTTCTGTTAAAAATTATCCAATAGATTCAGGAAAGAGGAGGTGACGGGTAAGGAGGCAAATTATGCCATTTCTTCCCCTGCATCTCTCTCAGTTTCCGAGCAATATCTGGCTAGTTGCTGGCGAAAGGCAAATGACTGGGGGGGCGGCTTTGGGGGCCAGACTCAGTGGCTTTTCTCTGCTGTTTTTAAGGTTTGGGCTGAGTTAGCTGGAGTAATAGGCTCCAAATTCCTCCTTCGATGCTTGCTCTCTTCCTGGGAAAAGTAACAGCATTTCAATGACTCATTCAGAGATAGAGATATTTGAACGAAGTCATTTCTCCAAATAGTCCCAAGAAATGAATAGAAAAGCAGCCTGTCTCAGCCTGGGAAGGCTGGGAAAAAAGGGTGCCAGGAGGAGGTCTCCCCATTAGGTGGCATCGTCTTCCCGGGAAGCCGGCCAAGCGGGCGAGGCGGTGCTGCCTTGCAGGGCGGAGGCGGAGGGAGAAGAACGGGCATCTCAGCCGGGCAGCTGCCCCTGTTCAAACTTGGGAGCTGCAGCCAGGCTGGCAGGGAGTGGCGTGGCCTTGGGTCAGCAGGCAGGCGCCCTCCAAGACCCCTTCCTGACCTGCTCGTGGGCCAGAGCCGCCTTTGTGGCTGGAGGGATACCTCATGCGAGGGGGGCAGAGGCTCCTTCTCCCGCAGGCATGGGTACTTCGGCTTCTCCTGCTGAAAGGGGTTGGTTGCCCCATGTGGGGAGGAAAGAGAGGTAATGGGGGGACCCCACCTGCCTCCCTGCCTGCTTTTGGCTCTGGCCCATCCACACTGGCCCACGTGGCATCCAGAAAAGCTGGCTGTGACGCCCAGGAAGTGGCACTGGGATGTGGGTTGCTTGGCAGGAGGATGCTCTTGAGCTCTGTGCGCCCATCGGCCACAGAGAGACCCTCTGCCCGTCCTTTAGCCTAATCCCATTTCAGAGCCTTTGAAGCCGGAGGCCGCATCGGGCTAATGCTGAAATCCTTTTCTTCCTTCCTTCCTTCCTTTCCTTTCCTTTCCTTTCCTTTCCTTTCCTTTCCTTTTTTTGGCTTGGTATTGATAGGGGATTGTAGGCAGGTGATTTAACGGCTGGAGAAAATCACAGTTGCCACACAACCCCCAGCCAGCTTGCCTTGCCCCGATTTGCCCACACTGGACAGCTGAGCGTGAGTCTGTGGAGACCTGGCAGGTGGGGACGGAAGTGGCCGGAGGGGGGAGCACCCAGGAAGCCCTGCAAATGCGAGGAGGGCTTTGGAAAGGGGGCGGGCGGGCACAGTGGGATGGGCGCATGTGAGATGCTTTGGACACAGGGTGCCCAAGGGCCGGCTCCTGCCAGTCTGCCTCGGCCCAATCTATTCATTCAAGTTCCCCCTGAAGCGAGGGGCCAGCCCTCCACCCTTCCCTAGGGCTGGTCCCTCCCCTCCCCTCCCCGGGTCCTGCCTGCCCGCCCCTTGGATTTGCCCACAGCAGCTGGGAATCTGCGGGTCCTCCTGCTGCCGCCTTTGCCAGGTGGAAGAGCTGACTCTCTGCCCCCCTGCTCCCAGCCTGCAAGCAGTGCTGCAGATGGCAAGCCACGAGCCTCCCCGCCTTAGAAGCCAGGGCGGGCCTAGTGCCAGGCTGCCCTCTCCAAATGGTGGCCAGGATGGCAGGTCAGGTTGACCAGGAGGGAAGCTGGAGCAATGTCCTCCCTGCCTGAGCCCATCAGGATCTCGGTTTTTGGAGGGGCAGCCCCTGAAAAGGTGCCCTTTGTAGGTTTTGCTCTGCCACGAGCAGGTAGTTGTGGGTGGGTGTGCAAAGGGACACCTTGCAGAAACCTGGAGCGGCCAATATCCTGCTGCAGGAGAAGCCTCTTCCCGTGCGCGGCGTCTGCCGGGGGCAGCTGTTTGGACCTGTCTGGATTCGCTCCAGGCTCCGGTGTGGGGCTGGGCAAAAGCGTTCCCAGACTTCCGCCAACGGGGAGAAAAACTGCCCTGGTGTCTGTCCCCGTACAAAAGTTTGGCCTGCAACGTTGACAGCGGCAAGGGCTTTCTGCTGTGTGCTAACTCTTGGCGCCACTGTGCATGTGTGTTTTCTCCCGTTGCTGTGGAAATGGGGGGAAGGCAGGAGATTGTTTCTGAATTCATATTTTCTTTAAGTGGCATGAGACAGGGAGGTGGAAGCGACTGCTGCTAGCACAGGCGATTTTAAAAAAAAGAGGAAAAGAGAGGGTAGTTCTCAAAGTACCGGTTAGCCACACTATCTAGAGCCCCCTGTTCAGAGGTAGTCTACCTCTTCGTCCTGGCCAAGGCTCTGATTTCTCTGAGGTGCCTGGGGGAAGCAGGATGCTCTGTAAGGTAGGCCGCTGGGTTTCTTTGCCCTGACGGTGCGCCCAGGGCTAAGCTGGGCCCTTCCTGGCCCTTTGCCCGGGCTCTGCCCCGGGGCAGCTCCAGCGGGAGGGTTCCTGGCGTTCTGCTGCTGGGGCGCGAAAGGCCCCAAAGGTTCGGGCCTCCCGCCCGGTCAGGTACTGTAGCTCACCGAGCTGGTGGGTCGAGGGGGGCAGCTTTGCTCCTCTAGCCCGTCTTCCTTGGCGTGGGACAAACGCGACGAACCACTAAGGGAAGCCGACGCGCACCAGACGCCAGACAAGGGTTTGGTGTGGGTGGTTCAACAGCTGGTGGCAGGCTGCATTTTGTGGATTTGTGGTGTGAACCTAGCCAAATATTGCTAAAATGGGCTAGTTATGCAGGTCAGGTTTATGACTCAGGTTTATGACTCAGGACCACACGTCCCTCCCCACGCACAGGCCTCAGATCTACTTCTCCACCACCAGCCCCCAGCAGTCTGAAGTGGGGCAGCTGGGAGGATGTGGTGCTGATGCCGACCTGCGGGCTGCGCAGATGCTGCCAGCTGTGCTCGGGCAGTCAAGCTGTTGATGCTGGAGCTCCCGGCTTTTCCACCGCCCCACAGCAGGCTTGGCCCCCGGAGCCCTGCGCTTCTTTGGGGCCACAGCTGTCCTCGGCCCAAGCTCCCTGGCCGAGGGCAAGGGGCCACGAGTGCTACAGCCCCAGCAGTCAAGGGGCCCGGGTTGCAGACCTCACAGGGGTGTTGTAGATCCCAATTCTCCACCTCGGCTGTTGTGGGGTGGAGGCTCGTGGGGTCGGATAAACATCAGCATCCTGACGTTCGAGGTCTGAGGATTTTCTCCTCTTCCTTCCGCTCGCTGCCCTCCCTACGGAGCAATCACACCGGACGGGTGGCGAGCAGTTCTGGCCACTGTGCCTTCAGGACTTTTCCCAGTCAGAGGAGATGCAGGGAAGGGCAACGAAAAGGCCTAAAATATGAGCTGCCCAGAGGGGGCAGTGGGAGGGGGTCTCCAGGGCCTCCCCAAATGCATCTCTTGGCTACAGTGGGACCCAAAACAGGCCCGTGGACTGGCCCAACCAGCAGGGCTCCTCTGATGCCCGGTGCTTCTCTGCTAGGCCTGGCCCCGTTTTCTTCCTCGCTTCACCTGTGTAACCGCAACCCGTTTCCAGGGCTCCAAGTCCAGACTCTCACGTGACTGGGCGACGTCTCTCAAAGGCAGAATAGAAAAGCGTCACTGGGGCCCTGCAGAGAGATTGCACTGTTTGGCTGATTTATTTAAAATATTTGTACAGTATTATGTCTTTCAGCGGCATCAGAGTCTCCCAGGGAGATCACAGCGTAAACCAAGCCTGCTTGTTCTGCGTCCAAACGATAATGGAGCGATTCAAATTTGCAGCAAAATTTTAAAATGTCGCTGGTACCTCTAATACTTGAATCACCAGAAAAATGGCAGCTTGAATTTGGCATCAGAAACAATTCTGTAGTGGTGGTAGACAAATATAATTAGGGAGAGTGAAGATTCAGCCTCCTCCTTTCTCTTTCCAGCGCCCACATTCCCTCTTCTCCCTCCCCTAAGTTCACCCCTAACGGTGAGCCCCATTTTTACTTGTGAAAACCTTTCAGATGCCCAACTGGGATGAATTAAAGCTGTGGCTGGATGGGAAGTTTCACCCGCCCTAATTTTCCCCCGGAAAATGTTGCCATGGTGGCAATTAATCTTTAATAAAAATTTTTAAACTTATGCTGGTAGCCCCAGAAGCTTCTAAGCCTAACAGCTGGGTAGAAGCGGGGCCTTGCAGGTCAGAGGGGGAGGCCCAGGGGTTCCCCCCATTTCCCCTCCCCTCCAGTATGGCCATTTTTGCACCTCTGCTGGACCGGTGCCCTCCTGCTTCTTAATCCACCACCTGGAGTCGTGGGGTCATGAGGGTTAGGGTGCAGATGGTTAAAGCGGCCAGGGGGTTGTAAGCCAGGGGAAAGGAATGCCAGGTGGGACGCCAAATCCGAAGCAATCAGCTGCTGGGATCTGAGACTGCCGGGCTGGG